CTTTAATATACTATAAAAGTCAGATAAGTTTTTATTGTAACTTTAATGTGTCATGACAGAAAATAATTTTATGTGCTCTATTTTGAATGTATTAGTATACTAATCTTAAAATACAAAATTAGGTTCCAATTTTATCTAAAACAAAATTTAAACACATAACTCCTTTCACTAAGAATCTTAACTACACAGAAATTATTAAAATAATCATCATTATTTGTGAAAAAAAATCATGGTTTATGGTTTTTCTATGACCTTTGTATTACATTAATAACCATAAACTTATTATATCAAAAAATATGTCTTGAATAATAAACGTAATTTTCAAATTTTCTATATGGAAATATGTGGTTTTTTTTAACTAAGTAATAATTTTTACACACATTTTATTAAAAAAATTTTAAGTATTTTTAGTTTTAAGATTGTATCTTATATCTTTTTATTTTTTATTTAATACCGACAGTACACCCGTACCCTAGAAACACTGTTAGGCAATGCTTCAGGTGGTGGGGCTGTATCTCACATCCTTAAAAAACATATAATATTAGTTAACCCATAATCGAATGCATATACAACTTTTAAAATCCCAAAAATCTCAACAACTTTTGTAATACCATTTAAATTACGAAGGTTCATAGTTAACTGCAGCATTCTACTATAACTATAGCGTCTACAAAAATATTACAATTTTTTTTATTTTATAAACTATTTATACTTATTATAAATATAAATCTCAAACTTATATTTTTTTATTCGATTAAATATTCGTATTAAATCTTAACTTTGTACTTACCTCAAAATTTCCTAAAAATCATAACAATTATTTTAATGAGTTTTGAAATTTAAAGATAATTTTTATAATCACATCATAAAAATGAAAAACTTTTCAAATTTAAAAACAAATTTCGACCCAAATATAATATTTTTTTTAAAAAATTAAACTATACTTGGTGATCTGTTTAATAAGTGATACTCATTTTCAAAAAAAAATTTGATGACATTTAAAGTTATTAACACTCAATATTTTTAATTTCTTATATTTTACATTATTAACATTTTAATGTTAATTTTAAATATTTTTAATGACTATTCTAAGATTTCCACTTTAAAAAACAATTACCTACGTGATAGTAAAATTGACAAACTATTCATCTTAATTATTATTATTGTCAGGTTATTCATTCTTGTGTATTAATGATAAATACGTACAGTTTATTGTAACAACAAGTCTGTACATCCAAATTATCCGTACAATTTTATTAATTCTAATCAACAGAAATATCGATGACAGTTTTTAGTTCAATTTATTACTTTTATTTGTTTAAGTATGTTTCTTGAAAGAAAACCCGAATTCTAAAAGTTATTTTATTCTACCGATAAAGATCATGTTTCGAAAAAGCATAAGACTTTAAGTTCAAAATTATACTTAAAATTAGTGAAAGTTATATAAACCATTACAATGTAAAGTTAAAATTACAAAACTGATAAAGAAGCTTCATTTAATAAAATATTAGTTATGATTTGGTTTTATAATAACCACGTTTAGTAAATACTTTAAAGATTAAAACTTTCCATTCAAGTTAATTGTAACATATTACTCGAGAATTAGGGTTGACCCAAAGTTAACCAAGATTGAATAATTATCTCATAATTTATACGAAATTATACACTTATATGATTTATACAGTGACATTTTATTTTTCTCGAGTTCTTGAAAGCATATACTTTTTTATAATATTTTCTAGTAAAATTAAAAAAAATACCATAAAATTAAAAAAAAAATAATAATCAGTCATTCTGATCTCATAATATGAAACTCAAGACTAAATCCAAGATCGTTTATATTATACTATATTACAAAATAATATAATTCACATTATCGAGTATTTCATTTCCAGAGAACCTGGTATATTTGGTATTATTATTTTTACAAAAATACATACAAAATAAAAATTAATTTTGTTATGCGAAAATATTAAGCTAAATTTTAATTACGATCATATTAAGATGAAACACATAATATGTATATAATTCATTCGACCTCCCCATTCAAAATCGAAATCAATTTCTGATTTTATACATAAATGTATAAACGTATACGGTGGTTCATTGTATACAAATAAATAAATACTACAACACGGCCAAGCTAAAGATACTAGCTTAACTTAGTTTGAAATATATTTTCACACTGCCTTTTGCCTGTTTATCCACCATCTCTATGTTGACAGAAGAATTTCGTTTAATCTTTTTTCAAATACTTTTTATAAAATAAATATCAATGTACTTAAAATCTTTAACTCTAGACATACAATTACTTCTCTTACGATTTATTTTTCATAAAAATAGTTTATTTTTAATGAACGACAATATATATTTTAACTATTTACGATTTGAATTATGTTCCGTATAATCCATAGTTTTGTTTTTTCTAGTATTTTATAGGATTAATTTAAGAATATTTAAACAAACTGTACAACTAAAATATTTTACAATTATCATATTTTTTCAAATCTTTAAAAATAATATTAAAATAATAATTCTTCATGAGAAAACCCATTTGCTTGACGTACTAACACACGGAGAAAATTGGGTACGATTGTAATACAAATTCCAAATTTATAGCTCTAAATTATTACAAATTTCTAAATAGTTATAAAGCTTTTATGTTCAAAGTTTAACCTTGTGGTATCAACAGGCAACACACTTGATCTGTTATGCATACAATTATTAAGCCAAAACTCTAAAAGGTAAGTAACAAATATTTTACAATTAAATAAATAATAATAATTATTTGGACAAGCAAGAGGGATACACTATGTTTTTTTTTTAAAAATATGTACTGTGATGTCTATACATTTTATGTCGGCTAGCTATTAATAACGAAAAAATGTTACACAATAAACTAATTCATATACTCAAATTAATCCTTTTAGTCTTTCTATTTCTATTTTTGAACGTTTTTTCAAATTAATCAATACAAATATCATGGCTATTATGATATTTGTATACGAATTTGACACGATATGCTAATTTATATTCGTTCATTTTAATGCATTGGCCACATTAATATGATGAGCGTATATAGATTCCGTCGATTTCATATCGATTCTACCAGCTTGTGCTCATAAAAATTGTGTATCGATTCCGTCGAAAATTAATAATTCCGTACACTCTATTAGTACATGGCCAGCTGCATACAAATACAATTCTATAGCCTGAGTTATTTCAAATGTATAGTTTTATTTTAATTAAAATAATATAGTTGATTTTTCATATAAATGAAAAAAAAAAATCATAATATATTGCGAAGTAATAACCAGATAATTCCATTTCATGTAGTGTTTATTGAATGTTAGTAAAATATCTATAGATAGAACATAGTTAAAGTTAAAGGTATATAATAATATATGTAATTATATTTTGACATTTTATTAAAATTGTAAAATATTATAAATGACGATTATCGATAAAACTATAACTGATAAAAATAATTATAAAATTATGTACGTCGATTTTCTATCATTTTTCCACTATCATTATAATCACGTGAAAATACGAGCTACCGAATTCTATGGTTGATTTTTAAGAACAATAACCGGTAGAGTCGATAAACAGTTCTTTTTAAAACCAAAAATGTCGGCAGAATCGATAAAATCACATTATAGATGAATCCAATACTAATTTATCAATCCACTACTGGATTTCTAGTTTTCTCAATGTACGTAAAAATACAATTGATAAAAATTATTCTTAATTTTATGATTTGAAATATTAATTTTCTAATTAATAAATATAGTTAGTATTGAAATATTAAACTTAGTTAATTTTTTTTAAAAGATTTTTTAGTGTGTATGGAATATTATTAAAATAAAAGGATATTTTTCACGAATATAGTCACAATAATAGTTCTTTTGGATATTACTAAATTTGTATTTTAACTTATAATTCGAATATAAATATCTCATAAAAATGCATATTGCTGATTACATTCATGTTGCAATTAGTGACATAAAAGAGAAAAAAGTGAAACCGATTTTCACTATATTAAATTTATTTTTACACGATATTTTTTTGCATACTTTGCTTTATAATATTTTCTTTTATATATATATATATACGGCGATCCATCATTACCTTCAAGTATATATACATACAGTAATCCGCAATGAAAGATAAAACTCAGCCTCTGCGTCTATCGGCTTTTTTTTCTTTTTTATTAAAATTAATAAGTCTCCGGTAAATAAACATGAAGATTTTTTTCTCTAAACAATGATCTTTACATTTTATTCACATTTATAATTTGTATTTTTTTATAAATCATCTTATGAAATAATTAAAAACACAACGATTTTTATGAAAGTTGTCATCATTTTATCTATTGAGATGTATTACATTTATTGCCTACCAGTCTTTGCCATATAAAATAATGAGGTGTAAAAGTGTCATACAATCTTCTTGGAATTTTTTTTTATACATATACATACACAGCGATACGTTTAAAGTAAAATAAAACGGTGTAGAAGCGGTATATCGCTCGCGTCACTCCACAAAATCTATAGAATACGACGGCGGAAAATAGAATCGTATTTTTTTTCGGAAAAAAAATATCGTACGAAGATGGCAGGAGATAGAATACGATATTTTCACATAATGCGTATCGTGCTCCACGTACGTTTACGGTACAACACGTACTGCACTTAAATCAGCAGGTAGCATACCATTGGATGCGGATTCAACGACACGAACACCGAAATAAAATCAACCCCCAGTTACCTTCGATATATTATACATGAATATATGTATTATATGAGTATAATATATGTATACATATGTACGGTCATGCGTCAGAGACTTAAGTGGTTGATGATCGGACGGTGGGCAAGTACAGCGGCAGGGCTGAAGTTGGATTTGTATATTATAATGGCGTACGGTGAACGGGTAACAAAAATAAGTAACGAGTGTGAAGGGGATGGTGCGGGAAGTGTGGGGATCGTCGAGCTTACCTGTGGAGAGAACGGTACACGCGCGCACGCACGGATAACGCGACGACGATTAGTGTGCGAGACTGTGCGCGGCTGCGGCGTCGGCGATAGTGCAGGTGGTCAAATAAGAATTTACGTCGTGAAAATGATGGTGACGATGTATTATTATGTAAATATGTATTTCGATGGTGGGTATTGTAACACGATGTGTTGTTAATGTTATTGTTATTAAAACAATTATTATCGTGACAGCAAATGTAAAAATTGTTATTTCATACGGTTTGATAAAAATAATAATAATAATAATGTCGTGTTCAAGGGGACGCGATGCGTATCAGAGAGCTGTGCAGACTCTCCAGCAGCGGGGATCAACGGACAACGACGACGACGATGACCGTATCACGGTTGCAGATACACCGAGCCGAGTGCAACAGTCGTCATGGTTGCGGCGGAGGCAACGACGGTAACGGCAACGACGATAACGGTAACGGCAACGGCGACGACGGTGGCGGCGGCGGCAGCGGCAGCGGCAGCGGCGGCGGCGACGACGTCACTGTGTGCGCGGTGGCGGCCAACCCCGGTCGTCGTCGTCGTCGTCGTCGTCGTCGTCGTCGCCCGTGCGCACAGTGACGGGAGGCGGAAACAGATTGACGACACGAGCACGCGGGAAACAACGCGCGAGACGGCGGCGTGGATGATGGGCACGCGCGCGCGAAATACGATCGCGAGAGCGTGGCGGGGCCGCGTATGTACGGTGCGCAGCGCCGGTAACGAGATACTGACGTCGGCGGCCGTTCGCTGCTGATGCTGCTGCTGCTGCTGCTGCTGCTGCTGGACGCGGTAGCAACAGCCGCCGCCGTCGAGCCCGTGCAACCCTAGGCAACGCGCCGCCACCATCACCACCGCTGCCACCGCCACCGCTATCGGCGGCGGCGGTTGTGTAAAGGTACGCCAACACTATCTGACGGACACGCGGAGTGAAAGACCCCGAGATCTCCGGATCATTATAATATCGTAGTTTTTCGTTTATTTTTCTACGATAATTATGTCGTTATCGTAATGTGTCGACGACGTTGCGGTTTTCAAAAATTATCCGGAAATCATCGACGCGCGTTAAACGGTGTCTCGTGCAAGACGTACCGCCAACCTGTGCGAGCAAAGCGAACGCGCGCACGAAAACGTAAACAACTATTCGGGTTTCGAGGTTTCCGTGGGCTACAAGTGACAACAACTATTATCAATGAATAACGACGGAAAACTTCTTTGCCCGTGTAATATAAAACTACTGTGTGGATATCAAAATTAGAGTACCGATTTTCTTACAATTTCAGCAGGTGGTTGGAAGTTCCAACTTGGAACCCTTGGACCCCTCCTCCTATTGTATACGTGCCTGGAGTATAGTGAGTACTTGTCACTTGTACACCGAACCCGTCGATGGACAAAACTATTACACTATTGTAGACCGTAACTATTGTACACCGTAATCAAATACGCGCACAAGATAATATCATTATACACACTTTTCGTTCTAACACAGCCGGGAACCACTTTTTTTTCTTAATTTCGACATCTGATTATTTTAATTTATACTATACACAGGATTTTTATTTTTCAGATTCTTATTTAAGAATTGCTATTCTACCTTTTCCGTATAAATACTTATAATATGATATATATATATAGATGATATATGATATAAATTGTTTACAGTTTTTCTAACCGTTTGAATGAGATCGATAACACTTTTGGATTTTTTAGATTTCAACGACAATAACTAATCGAATATAATCACGTAATTTATCATAGTGACGTATACTTTCAATTTTTTCCATCGGTAGTCTTAAGTCTTTTAAAAATGTAATTGATCCTGTATACGAAATATAGAAATTCCATGATTATAATTACTCGTATATGTTATGTATATATTTTCAGTACTGAGGAGTTGAGAATCGTCTCTTTCCCTAGTTAGACGTTAGAGGTATATCAATGTACGGGTCAGTCGTAATTAAAATTCGAATCGCGTGCCCAACTACGTTTTTCGTTTTTACTTGACACCGAAGTCGTGAACCATGAACTTTTTTCATAAATATATATATATATACATGTATATATATATATCAATGTAAGACGAATTGCCCGAACTCAGCCGGGAATTCAAAACGGATCTTAAACGAATATATACAGTCATCCATTTTAAATACATTATTGCAAAGAAACTCGCAGATTAAACTTACACGAGAAAAAAATGTATTCATCGATCGTCTAACTTTCTTTTAGGTAAATTATTCAACAACAAAATTTAAAAGTTTAATTTATAAAAAAAAAAAACCTATCGATTCATAAAAAATATACTTTTAATGTTATACCAAAAATGTATTCTTCTTTCCAGTTTGTAAATTTTTTCACACCACAAACTTACTAACATCCAAATTAGATTTTTTTTTTTCAGCTACGGAAAAATAAATAAACTTCAATTTAAATAATAAAAGTACTTGATAAAAAGCGATTAATCTTTTTATCAGTAGAAGTTAAATTCTATAGGGGTAAACTTGTAGATATACTACCACAAATACGTTGAAATCGTCAAATTCCCATCGTTCTAGGAAAAAAAGTGAAATTTTGAAAAAACATTACTGGAATCAGTGCATATTGTTTAAAATTACATTGTTTATATATGAAAAAATAATATTTCTATAATAAAAACTTTATTTTTTTTTTTGTTATATTTGTTTTTTATTTGTACAATCTGTATAAAAATATAATTAAAATAAACACAATGGAGGGGTAATACAATTATAGGGCATTGGTCATGGTTGGCTTGAAGAAGAAGCTATTCATTAATAGCACTTCATAACGGGATGGTGGACTAGTCGACTAGTAGGTCACGGCACCAGCTACGCTTTAGACGTCGGCCAGGGTCGCCCGGGATTATACGGGAAGATAGGTTTTGGATGAGAGGGTTTCGGTGATTTGAAAGTTTAAGGTGGAAACGTTTATATAGGGTTTTGGCGACGTTTTTTACTGTCGAAATGAGGAGGTCCCTGTGGAGGGTATCATTTGTAACATAAAAAGGGGCTTTAGTTATCTGCTTGAGGCATTTGGATCGGAATGTTTAGATTCTGTTTATATTGGAGTTTTTGGCTGAACCCCAGAGTTGGATTCCGTAGAACCAGATAGGTTTGAGAAGTACTTTGTATATGAGGATTTTATTGTGTAGTGAGAGATGTTTGGATGATAGAATGAGGCGAAGTTGTCTTTGACGATTATTTAGTACAAGTCGTTTGTTACGTATGTGGGTAACCCACGTGAGTCGACGATCTAGCCATAGGCCTAGGTAACGGACATTTTGAGCGGTCGGGAGAGGTTGGTTGTTAAGTGTGATAGAGGGCAGCTTATTGGTCTGAGAGTGAATGTGCAGTAGATTGATTTGGATTCATTGAGTTTGAACCCCCATTCTTTGTACCATATCGAGAGGATGTCAAGGTGGGTTTGGATTCGGCTGGATGCCTCGAGAGGGTCATGGTGAAGAGCCAGGATGGCTTTATCATCGGTGAAGTCACTGGTGGTGGTGAGGTTGGTAGTGGGTTGGTCTGATGTGTACAGGTTGAATAAAAGAGGTGCCGCTACAGCTCCTTGCGGTATTCCAGCTCTAATTGATGATTTGTCAGATAGGGCTGAGCCATATCGTACGGAGAAATACCCGTCTTCTAGATAGGACTTGAAGATTAAATAGAAGCTGGGAAGAAATATTGATTTTAATTTGAAAAGGAGGCCGTGATGCCATACCTTGTCAAACGCTTGTGCTACGTCTAAGAAGGCGCCTGTGCAGATTAGTTTCTTTTCAAGAGAATAGGAAATTTCGTCAACTATACAATGAACCTGGTGTATGGTAGAGTGGTTATTATGAAATCCGAATTGATTGTCTGGGAGGTTTGTGTCAATGATTGGGAGTAGGCGTTTAAATGTGAGTTTTTCAAATACTTTAGAAAAAAAGGTAGAAGGCTTATTTGTCTATATGAGCTGGGAGAGTCAGCGGGTTTCCCGGGTTTGAGTATCATAATTATAATCGAGAATTTCTAAAGTAGAGGAAAGTATGAGAGTCTAAGCATGGAGTTGTAAATGTGCGTGAGTGATAAGATGGCTTTTCTGGGAAGTTGGGAGGCGACTTCTGATGTAATAAGATCGTAACCTGGGATTTTATGACGTGTAGATTTATTGATTATAAATTCGACTTCACTGGGTATGATATATTTTGGTGGAAGGGTCATAGGTAGTGGACTGGTTAGGAAGTGGTCGACTTCAACTATTTTGTTACGGGGTATGATATCAATATGTGGCTGGAACGTTGACGAAAAGCATTAGCTTTTTCTGAGTCACTGATAAGCCATGCGGCGTCAGGGTTTCTCAGAGGGGGTACTGGTAGTTGAGAGCAGATAATTTTTCTGGTGTTTTGCCAAAGAGAATTGTCGGTGGTGAAAAGGGATGCGAGATGGTTTGTTAAGTTATCGGATTTGATTTTAGCTAGGATTCTTTTGAGTTTATTGGTTAGGTGATTAAATAGTCGTTTGTCAGAGGGATATTTAGTTCTTTGCCAAACAGCGCGTGCTTTTCTTTTTTCCGATATTAGAGTTCTGACAAAATGTGGAAGATCAGAGGTGGATTTATTAAGTGGGTTAGGAATAGTGGAGGAGGACCAAGCTGCTTGATGAATTGATGTTGTGAAGGTGTTAACAGCGTCGTCTATGTCTTGAGTTGATTTTAGTCTAGTTTTGAGATCTATACGGTTAACGAGTTAAGTTCTGAAGGCTTCCCAGTCCATACGACCTTGAGTGAGACTAGGTTTGTTCGATTTTTTAGAAGCAGCGGTGTCTATTGTGAGAAGGACTGCCGAGTGATCAGAACATAAATCATCGAGGTTGATTAATGTATTGTGAAGGCGGTTTGGGATTTTCATGACAAATATATCAAGAATGTCTGGTTCTTTTCTTAGGGATGTAGGCCAATAGATTGGAGAAGGAGGAGCGTGAATTTTGTAATTATTTTGTTGCGATAGGTTATGTAGGGTGTTACCGCGAGGGTTGTTGGTGCGACAGCCCCATTGTATGTTTTTCGCGTTTAGATCGCCTCCGATTATAAATCTTTGGCTTAGTGTATTAAAGAAGTGCTGGAAGAGAGTTGGTGTTATGGAATGACGGGGCGGGCTGTATATGGCATAGATATTGATTGGAATATTGTTTAATATTAGAGCAATTCCGCAGGCTTGTATATGGGCTGTTTGGTACTGAGGAAGAGGGTAGAATAATAGTGAGGTTCTTATAAAAATAGCAGCGCCAGCATGGGCTGTGCCATCTGGGTGATTCGATTTAATAATGTGGTAACCAGGTAGATTTATTTGTGTGGTGTTGATTAGGTGCGTTTCTGAAATAAGTGCAATATCAATTCTATTGTTTTGGAGGGTGGCCAGTAGTTCGTTTCTACGGTTAATTAGGCCATTAGAGTTCCAGGTTAAGATGAGGAGAGAGTTGGACGTAAAATTATTGGTTTGCATTTTATTTGTTTATATTATTTATGAGGTTTGTGAGGACTTGGGTGAGGAGGGATAATAGGGGATATATGATTGATTTAAATTCATCAAGAAATTTAGTGAGAGAGGTCTCATTATCAGTTGAGTTGGACTGGTTGTTGGGAGGGAACCCTTAGTCGCGTTTGCATACGTACGTGAGTGCGGTGAGAAGTTTTCATTAAGTTGAGATTGGTGTTC